ATACATCCAAATCGGACACAGTTAAGGAAAGTAAGTGAGCGTGGGTAGGACACATCACTGTGATGATGGTAAATGGACAAGATTGATAATGGAGTGGCAGCCAACGGAGAGAATGTGCCTGAGGGCACTACCACCGCAGATATGGAGCAATGATAATAGTTCACATGTAGAAGTGAGATGGACTGTGGGATCACCAGGACCTTGAGAAATTGTTCCGCTATTGGCAGGCCTTCATCCAGCAGTGAATCAACATGGCGGATCATGATGCTGATGAAGAATATGCATAAACATATAAAAGTAAAATAAATTTTTATTTTAAGCTTTCGTGACTGCAGGGATTCATATTCTTGGTTCTTTCGGTAAAGTCACGTAGAAGGGAAACAATAAAATAATAAAAATATAAAACAATAAAGTTCTCACGACGTTTCAACTGCAACACAAGCAATCATCATCAGGTGTGAAAACCACAGCAAGAAAATTTTGGAGAAAGTAGCGGTTTTTATTTTTTTATTTAAAAAAAACGCCACTTTTTTCAAAATTCATTGCTGTGGTTTTCACACCTGATGATGATTGCTTGTGTTGCAGTCCAAACGTCGTGAGAATTTTATTGTTTTTTATATATATTTTTATTTTATTGTTTCCCTTCTACGTGACTTTACCGAAAGAACCAAGAATATATAAAAGCAATATACACAATGCAGTATTACTTACATAAAAACAAATCTGAAACATTACTGTTTTATACATGACAGGGCAGATGACCCCAATTTAACTTATCTAACATTGTGCTGCAAAATTTGTTTTATTTTACTGTGATCCACCACCATAAAATCTCCAAGTACACAATTTGACAACAGTATATTGCATTTGCATTTCAGGTCACGTGACCTCAATTTGACATAGATTATGCACTTTTTGTCTTCCTGCTTTTGTGTTTTCCAAATCTGACGCAGAGGTGTCCCTTGCTCTGTCATGTGACAATACTCTACTATGAGCAGTACACCGTTTATCATCGGAATACCCTCCAGGAGAAAACAATCAAATTTCGTTTTGCATAGCGTCAAAATACCAAACCATATTTATATTCTGGAACATTAAAATGCATTGGATTTACACGCACAAGTGCATTATCCCATATGTGAGGATATCCATAATACGAAGGCAACATACCAGCCTTCGCATTATGAATTAGCATATATGGAATGTTTTTTTCTCTATATATATTTATTAAGAAAGCAGAATTCTACGATCTAATGAGTTCTGCGATCATAATGTGCACTATGATTGGATATTGTGAATAATTTAGCACTGGAATTACAACACAGTGTGTAGATTGACTGACTTGACCGTGTCTAAAAACAGACTTATCTAACAATAAAAGTAAAATCCACGCTCATAAAAGAGAACAACCTGTAATTTGCATCACAAAAGAGGAAAAAAGCTTAAAATATCTTGCTAGATTTACGGGCGAAGCCATTGCCTCTGAGGTAAGACGGGTAACCTTGGATTGGGGATTGTTCAATCACATCGACCCACGTGGCATGCGGCCAGATGGCCCACGTTAATAGATGTAGACTGCCCTGTTGGCATTGTGCATTGGAAAGGCGTCAGGTTTGTGATGTAAATTTACATTTTGTGAACTATTGAGTGTAACCTGTCTGTGCCCTAGATATATTTCTGAGGAGATGAATGCACGGCCACGTCTGTGTTGGAACTTGCATGTTTAATGTTTGATATATGAGTGTAAATTATGCTTACAAAATAAAGCTTGACAAAAATAAGTTGTATACCACAGTAGATGGCTCATTGCACTATGAACCCGGTGAGTTTGATTCCGGGCTATGGTTTCCATCCGTGGCGAGCGATATCTGAACTAATCCTGGTTTCATCCCTTCCACCCCATCAATTTGCACTGACCAGTCTCGTGGAGTATGGTCAATCAACTACACTGAAAAACTTGGCATTGGGAGGCATTCATCCAACAGTGGATTAACGAAGGGCTGTACACATTCACATGCACAACTGTAGACATTCTAAAGCATCCATCTTGCCGTGCACATGTTACGCATTGAAGTCTGAAGTTGCAAGGATCCAGAGCGATTTGCAGAAGCACATTGGGGGAGGATTAGATGGAGTGGTAGGCATGGTGAGAATGGGGAGAAATAGAGGAAGGTGTTTGGGGCTGGTGGTGGTGAGTGGGTGTTGGGTGTGATTCAGGGAAATAAATGGGAGGGAGGAGGGTGGCATTAGGGACTTGTAAAGGAGCAAGCTGCGGCGGTGTATGGGGATTGTTCTGGAGGGAGGCGGCTCAGGCCATTGACTGCCACTCAGCCCGATGTGCCAGGTATTGTGCAAAAAAAATCCAAATGACAGACGGTGCCGAAATTTAAAGAACCCACAATGGGATGCACCCGCTCCGCTCCGTTGTGAATCTGCAAAATCGCTTTTGTGGTCTTGGCAGTGAAAAGCAAACGAAGGCGCGTAAATAAATGACACTCATTATGAGACACGTAAATTCGCGTGCAAATACAGTGAGGGAAAAAAGTATTTGATCCCCTGCTGATTTTGGATGTTTGCCCACTGACAAAGAAATGATCAGTCTATAATTTTAATGGTAGGTTTATTTGAACAGTGAGAGACAGAATAACAACAACAAAACAATCCAGAAAAAGGCATGTCAAAAATGTTATAAATTGATTTGCATTTTAATGAGGGAAATAAGTATTCGACCCCCTCTCAATCAGAAAGATTTCTGGCTCCCAGGTGTCTTTATACAGGTAACAAGCTGAGATTCGGAGCACTCCCTTTAAGAGTGTGCTCCTAATCACAGCTCGTTACCTGTATAAAAGACACCTGTCCACAGAAGCAATCAATCAATAAGATTCCAAACTCTCCACCATGGCCAAGACCAAAGAGCTCTCCAAGGATGTCAGGGACAAGATTGTAGACCTACACAAGGCTGGAATGGGCTACAAGACCATTGCCAAGCAGCTTGGTGAGAAGGTGACAACAGTTGGTGCGATTATTCGCAAATGGAAGAAACACAAAAGAACTGTCAATCTCCCTCGGCCTGGGGCTCCATGCAAGATCTCACCTCGTGGAGTTGCAATGATCATGAGAACAGTGAGGAATCAGCCCAGAACTACACGGGAGGATGGTGTCAATGATCTCAAGGCAGCTGGGACCATAGTCACCAAGAAAACAATTGGTAACACACTACGCCGTGAAGGACTGAAATCCTGCAGCGCCCGCAAGGTCCCCCTGCTCAAGAAAGCACATATACATGCCCGTCTGAAGTTTGCCAATGAACAACTGGGTGAAAGTGTTGTGGTCAGATGAGACCAAAATGGAGCTCTTTGGCATCAACTCAACTCGCCGTGTTTGAAGGAGGAGGAATGCTGCCTATGACCCCAAGAACACCATCCCCACCGTCAAACATGGAGGTGGAAACATTATGCTTTGGGGTGTTTTTCTGCTAAGGGGACAGGACAATTTCACCGCATCAAAGGGACGATGGACGGGGCCATGTACCGTCAAATCTTGGGTGAGAACCTCCTTCCCTCAGCCAGGGCATTGAAAATGGGTCGTGGATGGGTATTCCAGCATGACAATGACCCAAAACACACGGCCGAGGCAACAAAGGAGTGGCTCAAGAAGAAGCGCATTAAGGTCCTGGAGTGGTCTAGCCAGTCTCCAGACCTTAATCCTATAGAAAATCTGTGGAGGGAGCTGAAGGTTCGAGTTGCCAAACGTCAGCCTCGAAACCTTAATGACTTGGAGAAGATCTGCAAAGAGGAGTGGGACAAAATCCCTCCTGAGATGTGTGCAAACCTGGTGGCCAAGTACAAGAAACGTCTGACTTCTGTGATTACCAATAAGGGTTTTGCCACCAAGTACTAAGTCATGTTTTGCACAGGGGTCAAATACTTATTTCCCTCATTAAAATGCACATAAATTTATAACATTTTTGACATGCGTTTTTCTGGATTTTTTTGTTATTCTGTCTCTCACTGTTCAAATAAACCTACCATTAAAATTACAGACTGATAATGGCTTTGTCAGTGGGCAAACGTACAAAATCAGCAGGGGATCAAATACTTTTTTCCCTCACTCTATTGCTCTGGAATAGGTGTTGACAGGTGACAACTATAATGTGATTCTTCACATTGAGTGAATGTGACATGCACTTCTCCAAATCTTGGAAGCATAACGACCCTGTGAGCACGACGAGAGCACCATTTATAGAATGTGTTCTGTTAATTTATTTACATAGAGCATATAATCTGTGATAATGAGGCAGTAAAAGAAAAATTCCGAAAACACTGACGCTTTTGTTTTAACTGCTTATCGTCTTTATTTGTATTAAAGCACAATATTCTAAATAATTACAAAGAGCTTAATTAAATTTAAAACACTGCCCATATTTATGCCAAAATGTAATTAATATATTGAATGTATCGTGTTTATCTACTTTATAAATCCTGGATTAAAGTTTATTTTGTTCTTAGCATAACTAAAACAGAGGTAGTACTCCACAAAACACGTTAAGCTTCGCAATTACGACCATACAACAATTTTCCTCTCGAAATATTCTCGAGATATTTTCAGCGTTGGACATCAATTATGGACCATAACCATAGCTCGCTGGGCTGTTTCACTTTTGCGGCAAATATTACTCCTGACTGCTGAAGATTTTTTTTGTTCATCGTCATTGTTGCATATTCGTTTCTGAGCCGGCCACAAGGTTACGAGGTGCGAACGCTTAAGCAGGTTTTTTTTTTTAAAACCTTTGATGTTTGTAAAGCAACCATACCACCTTTGCAATGCACCGCTCAGTTGATCATGGCTCGCTGTTCTGCTGCCCCGTGCTTACTGCACCGCAGTCATTTGGCGCAGAGCTGCCGTGCTGCTGGTACAGCCTTGCGCCGCCACCGCCGTGCTGCTGTAAATTAATTGGCTAGCGCTCTCTCTCTCTCCCCCCCCTTGTTTCGTCGTTTCAGAGGTGTGCGAGGGGCCGCTCGTGGGACGGCTCGGAGCGGACTCATTCAGCGCTTCCTCAGCCCTCTCTTCAAGCCACGCGCCCAACTTCGCCAGGCTCAATCGACGCGAAGGTGAATGCGCGTTGGATTGCCGCTTTCTGAGCTACAAAGAAACAACAACCTGGGGACGTATCATGGAAATAAGAATAGCTCATGGTACCGGAAGAGGGGAGAACCACATTGGAAATCCATCGTCCTGAGTGGTGCATTCAGGGCTTTAGGGGCTGCAGCCCACGGCCCTCCGCCAGCTGGAGGGCCTCCAGAGATTATTTATTCACGACGTACTTACAAGAAAATCCGCAAAACTACCTGCTGGATCTCCTCTCTGTTTCAAAGAACAAATTTGACCCCGGGTCTTCGCTCATTTACCAGCTTCACATTCCCTATTGCCGTACAAAAACTGGAAGAAGGGCCTTTGCTATTGATGCTGTCGGGGAGGCTGACCCCTGTCTCCTCGCTCATCTGGGATCCACTGCTCCCCTCTTCCGTATCCTGGGGAGGGTTACTGCTCACCGACTCCCCCCCCCCCCCCCCTTCGCTGCGGCCCCTCGGGGCATGATTCGGGGCTGGCGCTTAGCCACCTGGGATTAATTCACACACGCTCCCCCTCGCGTGCTCCTCTAAACGTGATGCACGCCGTACGCAGTCGCGCGCACACATGCGCCCGCAGCCACCAAAATCCGACGCGGCTACCTGCCCGGCGCCGCGCACCAATCGCACGCGTGGGACTCGGGGTCAGGGGTCAGAGGGCAGGGGCGTCACTCGTACGCGTGCAGCCGATTGGAGGAGGTGCCCCGGAGCAGGTTTAAAGGGCTGTATGAACAACCTCGCGGGTACGCCACCCGTGCACCTCTCGTACACGCTAACCACGAGCTACACAGCTAATCTCGCGTGCACGCCGCCCGTCTACCTCGCGCACACGTTAAACAGAGGCAGCACGGGTGATCTCGCGTGCACGATGCCCGTCTACCTCGCGTACACGTTAACTACGAGCTACACGCAGCGGCGAGCGCACACACGTGGGTAGAATACACGCTCGTGCGCAAACACAGGATACCACAACGAGAAGGCTCACAGCACCGTGCACTCCTCTCCGCACTCGCAGGGACGACACGACAAGGTTTATTGACTACTGGCGATTTATTCTCCGTGAATAACAAAGCTAAACTACCCGTGCCAGTGTGGGCCAGCAGGGCAGGTCTAACCTATCTCCCGGTGGTCTAGGACTCAACCTGTCCCGTCTCTCCCCAATCACTCTCCCTAAGGATATCCCCCTTAATCTTACCTCTCTCTTACGCACTCACGGTTCGACTCCGAGGTGTAGGAAGCCGTGGAAAGGCGAGGCTCCACGTAGTCCTCGCTGGGAACGAGGCCTGACTGTGCTGCGACTCGTCTCACGGACGATCCAGTGGCAGGCACGATGACTCCTCCGATCCTTGACCCCAGAAGAATACGACTCACTGCCCCTACCTTCCCTGCCCTTTTTATTGTCCTTATATCAAAGATAACTTGCCGCTAATCCGTTGGCCTATCGTCCAATCAGGAGCCTCGGATTTCCCGCTCCTCGCTAATCGGATCGGTGCTCTCACCGACGTCCGCTTTTTACTCTTTAAACAAGCGCATTCGTCCTGCCAATCAGAGGGCCGCTCTGTTTTCCCGCCGCTCGCCACTCCGCCCCACCCTCTACCTGCCTGCTGACCCGTGTCGAGCGTGCCCCTCTACCCGCGGCGGCTGAGCAGCCCTGTCGTGACCATGCAACCACCATCCAGGTCACGGCGCCGCGGTGCGAGCTAGCCTCGGGGGAGGTCGCCCAATTCCCTGGTCGCAGGAAACCGTGACGCTTGGTCCCATGAGAGGGCTTCCGAGTAAAAACCTGTCGGCCAGGTGACCTCCCCTCGGGGCTCTATGTGGGGGGGTGTGTGTGTGTGTTCATGTGGGGGCTCTATGTGGGGGTGTGTGTGTGTTCATGTGGGGGCTCTATGTGGGGGTGTGTGTGTGTGTGTGTTCATGTGGGGGCTCTATGTGGGTGTGTGTGTGTGTGTTCATGTGGGGGCTCTATGTGGGTGTGTGTGTGTGTGTGTTCATGTGGGGGCTCTATGTGGGTGTGTGTGTGTGTGTTCATGTGGGGGCTCTATGTGGGTGTGTGTGTGTGTGTGTTCATGTGGGGGCTCTATGTGGGGGTGTGTGTGTGTGTTCATGTGGGGGCTCTATGTGGGGGTGTGTGTGTGTTCATGTGGGGGCTCTATGTGGGGGTGTGTGTGTGTGTTCATGTGGGGGCTCTATGTGGGGGTGTGTGTGTGTTCATGTGGGAGCTCTATGTGGGGGTGTGTGTGTGTGTGTTCATGTGGGGGCTCTATGTGGGGGGTGTGTGTGTGTGTTCATGTGGGGGCTCTATGTGGGGGTGTGTGTGTGTGTTCATGTGGGGGCTCTATGTGGGGGTGTGTGTGTGTGTGTTCATGTGGGGGGTGGTGGGGGAAGCGCCGCGATGGAAGCCGGGCGGCTTCGCTGCTGCAGCACCACTGCCGCAGGCGCGGCTCCGACGGGGCGGCCTCGCTGCTGTGGCACCAAAAATGCCCCCAGGATCTGGAATGCTGTTGCCAATAAACTGCAACTTGAATTGCTACCAATGAGATCTTCTCTCAAAACTGCTCTAGAGGAGTTGTACACCCCTTGCTGCCACTGCTTGTCATTGGCGTAAAATAAAATAAAATGTTTCGCTCCGGATGACGCTGCAAAGTATTATCTGTATTTTGATTTAGCGTGCTGATCTTAAAGGTGCATTGAAAAATTTGATACTCCGACTGATGCTTCTGTTGTTGTGGAGTAGCTCATGCAGCCAGCTATGGCTCTAGGATTTGGTGTTACATGTTATTTATGTAGTTTACTGTAAAACTTCGGTCAGTCCCTATGGTCACTGTTACGTTGCAATTATGGCTTTATTTTTTGGTGATTTCGAAAACGTTTTTTGGTTTGGACATGTTTGTTTTGTTGTAGTACGGAGTTAGACTGACAGCCTTTATCTAAGTTTTCTTGTGATTGTTGTTGTTGTTCTTTGACTTGCATCCCACTGGGATTTTTTGCACACAGCGTTGGTGTACGGTGCTTTTTTCAGGAATATTTTGTTGTTTTTTTCATGGATTTTGTTTGCACAGTCACATAGTCACTTTAAGATGTTTTCTTGTTCGTGTTTTTGTTTTTTTGTTTGTTGTGGTTGCACCCGATTCAAGAGGCGAATGGCTCACAGGGCTATACCAAAATAAATAAACTGAACCTGAAGATTAAGTGGAAAGTTATTTCATTTGTGAATGCTGAATTGCATTTGTTGTTAGCCTTGTAAAAATAAATTTTATTTATCTTTAACTTTGTTTTCCTTTTGAAAATATTACTGGGGGCCTCACAGTACCTGTAGCCCCGGGGCCTACAAAATCTTAATCCGGCCCTGGGTGTATTGTTATGCAACCGGCAACAAAACGGGACTTTAATGTCTCTGGAAGACTTACGGATTATCCAGGACAACTGCCTCAAAAGGAGGATGTTCCTCGGAAAATCAGTACACGTGGCAATCCTACTCACACAAAACAACCCCACTGAAAGATGACGATGCCAGGAATTTACACGCACTGCTATGTTCTGACTGAGGTGTGCGGGCATTATTACATTTGTGGCTGCAGAGTTTAAGACGTGGTACATCAGGCGCATACAGTATTAACATCTGTTGGGTATGCACATATAAATGTGGGAAAGTTCTATCGTGTGCAAATGGTTTTCAAAGACATAAGACAATGGTCGCCTCTCTACCCCCACCCCTTACACTGCGTCTTCAGTCCTACATTTCGTAAGCGCAATAAATACTGAAGCAAGCGTGAGGGTTGTAGCATCATTGACATTGGCCATGATGACCTCTTGACCTTGAACGATGAACACTCTAAAAGAATCTTCGAATTATGGTTAAAATATCCTTAACCATAGATGCCACCGTTCTGCTAGACATGTATGGCCATCCTTTGCTAATGCAGTATATTATTACAATAATCTATTGAAATTAATAGTAATTCACATATTTAGAAAAAAATAACGACTCTGCGTGTCATTATCTGCCCATAAGGATTTTGAGGTTTCTTACAATTACACAAAGGTGCCCGAGGTTCAATAATTCGAGAAAATGCCGGTGCTGTAGACAGCACAATGAACATGACACATCGCGAGGACATTCTAGAGAGAGATAAAAAAATCTATTAAGTATTAATGTCTATACAGGGTTGCTTACTCTTTAGAGTTTCGAGTTTCCAATAGGAGCACGGTGCTTTCATCAGGGTCCTTTCACCACATATGGAAGTTGATGGAGAGGCATATTCTGTAAGGCTCCTGCCCCACCCCCCCCCGAAAAGGTCACAAGGTCACATCGTTAGCAGCCGAGAGGGTGAATAGATGCACATCTGAACCCCTTTATGTCATGGGATGCACTGTGGGTTACGATCTGTATTGATGCCCGACTGAGTTCACCGATGCTTTTGGACGAGACCTTGAGGCAATGTCCATTCCTGACACTTTGCCAGTTTTTCTTGTTGGTGGCTGAGAGAAAAAGTTAAACAGATAAATAAATATGCAATCTGTGAAATATATTTTTCTTGGCTGTGGTGACTCAAATTCGGTCACGGTGATGGCAATGTGTTAACAGTTTTAAGGTGAGTGTGTCCTTGGGTTTTTTTTGTGGGTTTGTTCCCCATCCGCCCCCCCCCCAAAGCAAATTTTGAAACCTACAGCCCTGATTTTGGTGGACTGTATATTTTGTAGGCTGTATAAAATAACTGTTGACATGATCCTTCAACTGTTTGATTGTGGGTTCAATAAATATTGTTGTTTGTGTCTCTCAGTGCCAACTGTGCCTTTGCATTTAAATTATGCCATTGCAAAATTCGAAGTGAGTTAAGGCACAAAGTGGACATATATTTCCGCTGAGGATTGTGTTGTGAGCAGGAATCCCCAATGCCACTAGGCATGAATAGGATACATGCACAAAAAAGGGCAGACTAATGCACGGTCCTTTGATTACCATCTATTAAAAATGAAGC